TCAAGAATTTCATTATACGGTGACGAAAAATTCAGTTCAAAAATCAGTTCAGTTTCCTATTATGCTCGATATAAGGAGTGTGGCTTGATCAATATTTTTACAGTGATGTTGACTACAAAAGAAGATGGTGGAAGACAGAGATATCTAGAGATTTCATAAAACTGTAATTAAAGAAATTATCGTATTATTTTTTAGAGTTTGAGGAAAAGTTTTAAAATAAATAATCTGCAGCAATGCAGGGACCAAAATGTCATGACCTATTATCACCACAGATAAAATCATTAATGTCTAATATCTCGGCTAAATTGGAAGTCCAATCCGAGGATTGCCTCAAAAGGCCGCAAACTTTTAATAAATTCTGCTAACTTTGTACCAATCTAATTTCTTTCCGCTGTGGTTGAATGCCTCCCTGATTACAATTTGAACTGAGCGAAATGAATGCATGAGAAGTGAATGGGAAGACGAGGGTTCATACATATTTTCATGATTTAATTTTAGGCAGTATTTTCCACGGCGTTGGAAGTTGGAAACAAGAAGAGCATCAAAAATTTCTTCTCCGTCCTTTATCTGTGCGATGAATTTTTTGGTCAAATCTCATAGGTTACAAAACACTGACAAAATCATGCCTGGTCAATCGCTGGTCTAAACGTGGAGTGTCAGCAGTGATTCGAACATTATTTCCGTCGGTCGCATGTTGTCGAATTAATGAATCTTTGAGAAGTTCTACACATGCTGGTCGAGTATTATATTACTCGAATATGCTGGTAGAATATTTAACTAATGATATTACACAAATTTAAAATTCTTTATGGTTGATATGACCATCTCCTACCCCATTCCCTTCGAGTCTGGCATGAATTGTCAACACCTACGAATTTAACATAAATATAAGTTCAATGACAAATCTTCCTGCGATTGTCCGTCGAGATTCCACTAAAATAAGACCTATTTTTGGTCCCGCATTTGTTGAGCCGAGCAAATGTATTCACCGAAATACTTATTCAATTCATTCAGTTGTCGTGAGTTTGGTAGCAGGTTCAATGCTCTCCAAACAACGGTCACATTAAAAATTTTTTTTGCACAGAACTTTCATTGTACATTAGGAACGTATCGCAGTTAACTTCGGAGACTTGAAGAACGAGCAAATATTAACCGTCAGTTTAGTGGGGGTTTACCATACACATGACGTTGCTTTGTCCACGTTTGTACTAGCTGCTACCATTTTCCTATCCGCAATCTCTGACCACGGTTCCAATATTTTCTGAAACATTCGTGTATTCTAACACTGATTAATTCTAAATTGACAAAACATTTATTTAACAAAAGACTACTACCTAACAATAAAATTATGTTTAATTAAAGACCCAAACCTCATTGACAAGGATCGATGATAAGATGATCAGCCTCCACAAAGCACGGTTTAGCGAACGTGTGTTAATTCTTGGTTTAACCTCTGCTTCGTGATGAAGAGGCCGCCGATCTCGCCGCGATGCCCGTACATCAAAGTGATGTCTAAAAGAACTTTGATTCCGTGATCTAATATAGATTGTTTGAGCTGGTGATCCCTGTTGAACTGTTCCGAATACATCTTGACCATGATTACTAAACCGATATAAAAATTTAGTGGGCGACCGTCCCTAAAAATAAAAACTTTTTTCCATTAGAAGAGAAGGTAATAAATTGAAAAATTAAAATAATATAGGTATTTACAAAAACAAAAAGAAAGAGAAAACAGAGCATTGTAGGTATTGAGGTAAACTTGAACGCCTCATTAAGCACCGAATGATAATTAAACAATGCGATGAATACGAAATTTATTTTACCGAAATGGAAGATAATTAGTGATAATGTTAGCGAACTGTTTCAAGATTTCAGCTTGAAGGTTTCAGGTTCTCGCTGGCAAACTTCGACACGCTGTATCATTTGCAAGCCATTGTTCCCATCGGTTGGGAGGCGAAGTTGAGTTAACTTTCGCTGTCTTTGCTCCGCTTATCTATATAGTAATCAAGTGTTATAGGGATAAAGATAGTTGTATAACGAAACCTGAAGGCTCATCAAACCCCGAATATTTTTAACTCATTAATAAATGCAAAGTGGCTTATAAATCATTCACTAACAATCATACTGAATACAATTGATTATTTTACAGATTTGGTGGAGTATAGAAAAAAGAAAACAGTATTGAAAAAACTTTGTTGAATCAGGCCTTATTCGTTACAGATACATTGCACATTGCGTCGCTAAACTGTGCATTGTTCAATGCGCCAGCTCAGAAAATCGGAAAAACCGTCCAGCTGAATGCATTAAATGCTACTGGGCACCCAGTGACTTCTAGAAATAGTGTAATGACCCACATGTTGTATTCACCTATGTGAATCAGACCTAAAAACCATCTAGAATGCTCAAGTCCACAATGGAAATCGAATTGTTGAAACTGAACGCAAAGCAAACAAAAAATAAGAAATATAATAATAATAATAATAATAATAATAATAATAATAATAATAATAATAATAATAATATTAATAATAAAGGTTTTTTCGAATCTATGATATAAATAGTTATAATGCTAGTAGAATCGAAAAAAGTCTGAAAAATTTTCTGCACCACACGGAAATTAAGTTTGTAAAACGAATAAAGAAATGTACGTCGGCGTAAAAAACTAAAATGATCGAAAAATCTAGAGGCGGCTACATACGCGTGCTATAGGTGCTAGTAGGATTGTATACATATAGGAGGTCTAATGTCACTTGGTAGGCGTTTATAAATCGGCCTTATTTGGAAAATGTAACAATCGATATGATAACAACGGGACTTAAATCCTCAAATTGATCTCCAGGAATTTATCAAAACTCTCACTTCAGGCAAGATTTCAGCCGATGTAACGGCTTCGTAGCTCACCACAGTATCTGTAATGCTGTGACTCCCTGAACTGAATTAATTTTCGAAGAACGAATAGTTTCAATTATGAAATTTCTATCTTTTATAAATTTTGTGAAAAGTTAAGATTGTCAGATATGTTCATTCCGCAAAATATTGTAAAGGTATAGTCAGACACCAAATTAAGAGCGCCCTAAAGGCTCAGAGTAAATAAGTGGCGATAAGCCGCAGGAATGCGATGGATCGCTAGTCAATCAAAGTGAGAATATCAACTTCAGCGTTTTGTTTTCTTAGACCAATCCGCAGAGAGAAATTGTTGCTCCTGGAATTTTTTCGAATCAACTTCGGCGACGAGTCTGTTAGAGAAAAAGAAAGTCTGTCCAAGAGACGGGACGTGTTTTAAGAAGCACAACTTCTGATCTGAGGACGCGGAAATAAGTAGCAGCGAGAACGCGGACGCCTCAATGAACTGAGTCTTATCGGTCCACCTGCATCGAGGACGTTTGCCTTTCACGGCTGCAATATTGAGGCTTTTTCAGCATAAGAATTTTTATTTCGGAACAATAAATTTTACCCATGTTCCAATCTAGTTTTGAGGGAAATCATAAATTTGTCATCCTAATTTACGTAACGACTATACTATCTAATTTTGGAATAGTTTATACCTCTGATTTGAAATGACAACGAGCAAGCGCAGAGCTGCTGATAGTTATATTAGTTATGGTATTTATGTTAGTAAGGTTTATTGTGTTATAATCTTATGATTTCCATATGCATTTAATACTGTGTTTATCCTTTGAATGTATAATTTTCTCCATTTAAACCACAAAAAAACTTGTTCTGTTAATAAATTCTGTTCCATGTTATTGGACGATTCTCGTCGCAAGAAATGCTTGTAAATTTCTTCACAACCTTTGAACACGAGATCGCTTTCAGCGAGTATCCGCGTTTCTTCAGGGCGACGACCGAGCCTATCGAACTTTTGCCGTTCACGAGAAATCTTGAGGAGCGAACGGAAAAGTCCCCGTCGAAATCAGAACTCTTCCGGTTTGTTTCTTTGCGTGATCACGAAAAGAATCACATTTGCATATGATCACATAGGCGGGCCTCCTCAAACTATAGAAAACCGATATTTTCATCGGGGGCTTCTCGTTAGGAAAATCTAGTGTGTGCTCTGCACTCGAATATAGAGCGAAATATTTTCTCCCTTGGAGACGCTTAATTGCATAGCTGCTGTTGACGGCTTGGCTGCACGACTCTCTTCAGCAAGGGGAGCTTCTATATTGATAAACTTAGGCCTTTTATTTCTATTGACTTTGCACTGAAATTTTCATGATCTAAAGTCACGAGAAAAATGTAGGTATTCTATCAATCAAAGGACAGTGTGATTGTTTATTATTCAACAAATAACAGTTTGATTGAAAAACAAATAAACTCTTAGTTTAAAGGTGCTTGAAACTGAATTGTTCTCTTTACTACATTAAAATAAACGTTCTTTGACATACTACAATTTTTTAACTTTGGTGTTGACTTGTGAACAACAATTGAAACTTACAACAGCCACATCAAAATTATCATTATGCTTGACGAGGAGTTTCAAAATTACCAAGTACGACGAAAACTTCGATACATCCGATAATTGGAGCTTCATTATTTCACAGTATCTATATTGCTCAGCAGAATTGCAATATGGCTTGAATTACCCTACATATCCTCATATCCCTACTCCTCCATACAAATTCTTAATATCCGTCTCCCGAAATATCTGTACGGAAAAACGCAGTTTTATTCTAATTACCTAATGTGTGTTTTCAATCGATTTTCATTACATATTTCCATTAATAATGAATACACAACCAGAAATGAAACCGATACTGGACAACGTCCGATGTCTATATAGATTCTACAATCTATCTTCTAATTGTAAGCCGAAAGCTATGATGGAATAATGGAAATGAATTCCCCTACTACAAAAGTATTCAATGGATACGAAAGATATCTATGTAGCAATAACAATTAAATTACATACATATGTGTCAATCAAAATTAAATTACATAATTATGTTTCTTTAAAATGAATCAAAAATAAAAACATTAGAAGCAGCAAGTAATGTCCTCACCTTCTGAAGTCCCTCGCCATGCAGGCGTAGATGACAGGATTCATGGCAGAGTTGCTCCATCCCAGCCACGTCAGGATCGCTGCCACAAGAGGTGACTGGCTGCAACCTTCTTGACAAATTCCCATCAAGACATTATTGACAAAAAATGGCAGCCAGCAAATTATGAACACTCCCATCACAGTTCCCAATGTTTTGGCTGCTTTCTTCTCTTTAGCAAACTTACAAAATTTTTTGGATAGTGAAAAATTCTTGAGGTTCCTCGAAACGACTCGTGAACTGGAGTCAGGCGCCACAGCCTCTTGCAATAGAGCGCAAGGATCGCCGTCATCGGACGACCCGAAGGACTGCTCGGCGAGTCTCGAGCTCCCGTTCTCACGGACGCAAGAGCATTGACGTCCTTTTTGAGACTGCGTACGGCCGAGACCTGTGTTGCCGTTAGCGCTGCTACTGCTGCCACCCCCACCTCGATGGATGCGGAGCGTCAACTCGACTTCACCTTCTCCGTTGCTTGATACGAGCTTCTGGCCTTGCTTGAGACTCCTGGTCTGCAGTGTTGCAGCTCGGAAAATACGGAAGTATGTGAAGACCATTATTAACAATGGACCATAAAAGCTTATTGTGGACGAGAAGAACAGGTAGGCCGTGTCTTCCGTGAATAGACATTCGCCGGAAGGATGTGGTTCGGACACTGATCTCCACCAGGCAATGGCCGGGAAAGAGATGAGAGCTGAGCACACCCACACGAGGGCTATGAGACGACATGCTCTCTTGGGACTCATCTTAGTGGGATAGCTTAATGGGTCTGTGATAGCCCAGTAACGGTCCAGTGAAATTACGCATAAGTTTAATATTGATGCCGAAGATGCAAGAACGTCGAAACTGTGCCACACATCACAAAAATCAGGCCCAAAGAACCAATAGCTGAACGAATCGTATACTGCGCTAAATGGCATAACTAACAAGCCAACCAGGCAGTCTGCCACTGCCAGGGACATTATAAAATAATTTGTAACTGTGTGCAGGTATCTCTCTCTTGACACAGCAACAATGACCAGGCCATTGCCAAATATTGTGGAAAGCGCGAAAAATAAGAGAAGGAGGCATAACGATACGCGCTCGGGAGAGACTTCGATGTGAAAACTCTCTCCATCATTTGTACGGCACTCGAAACTGTAGTTGACTCCGAAATATGTGCAGTTCTCATCAGTTTTCAACATTGAAAAATTGGTCAGCAATCTTACTTCAGTTGAATTATCTTCCATTTCGATCTGGTAGTAAAAACTAAACAGATGATCTGCTCAGCTATCCAAGCGCCGCATGAAATAGAGTTTAAATTAAATTTCTACTGCTCTGGACGAGAGATCACTCGTCGGTCGGACTCGAGTTTGAAGTTTGTCTTGCATTGGAGGCTTTTTCTCTGAATTTCTGTCCATGCATTGTCAGCATTCGTCTTGGTTTTGGCTGAATGTCGTCATGCATTTTAGTCCGTCGTTTAACACATGAACTGCAACAAATTAATTCATGACTTCTGATTTAAATGATCCGAAAGAAAAATGTCGAATCACTGTTGAATGATGAAATTTTTGAGCTTCTTCGATCCAAGTAGTGAGTTCAGCCTTAAAATTAAATTTCAAATTCTAGGTTTCCATTAGAAAAAATTTTCTAAATGATGTCAACTCGTGATTAATTTTCAATTGTTCTTTTCTCATGTTCAGATGACTGTTCTTTCAGTACGGTCATTATTAAAATTACAATGTTTAATCAATCTCTGGCTTGTTCTGAATTGCTTCACTAATTGTTCTGTCGAAAAAATCATCATGTGAATAAATATTGTTATTCATCACAGCAAATAATATGTAAAAAATTTACTATATAAAATATTATCACCGACCTTTGCATTTTCGTAGAGTTCGGTATTAAAATGATTGAAATAGACTTCTGTTATATTTCACCTTCATGCACCGCATTCCTACTATTTTGAAACATGGGTATGAACTATTTCAAAGGAAGCTGCTCTATATACAGAGTCTTCTTTATAAACTCTGGAAGTAAAGTGCTAATATATAAAACACTTTCACTATATATATATACACTCTCACACAACATAAAACCCTTTCAAAAGTTGTTTAGAAAACTTCTAAGCTATGAGGAGGCAGTGAAAACAGTTAATCACACCCAATGGCTGACAAATAACGATAGCACTGAGAGTCGAATATATTGTAGTCAATATGGTGACGATGAAAGCAAAAACTGGTGCATTAAATTTCAATATCTTTGCTTGTACGTCGACTGACTTGCGACTCTAATTATTGAGATCACATAGGTTCATTCAAGGAATAGAATTTATCGTAAACTTCGCAGCAAAATCTCTACATGAGATTTTCGTACAATTTAAATACCAGCGGTGAGAGCATCACGTATCATAATTCGATTACTGCATCAGAACTTATTTAAGATAGCCTCGGTTCTCCCATTAATAGAACAAATTTCTGAATCAGGGCAAGCGCTACAGTTTTAAGGAATGCGCTAATTCCAAAGAAGCGTTTAAGCTTAGGCTAAAATTTATCTAGAGCAGAAGGATACCTGATTATATTTTTTCATTTCTAAGCGGGTTTCATTTGGTTATTCTAATCATTGCAATAATTTCGTATAATTGTAAAACTATAACACGGGTAAAGCCTTCGATGCCCTGAAAAACATTATGATTAATTGTGTGCAATAAATAAAAGGCATGCTACACATGACGAGTATCTTCTAAAATATATGGCTGACCGATTAAGATGTAAAAATTGTATCTAGAATATTATGATGATTTAGATAATTGACTCTGAAGAATGAGGATGAACACTGATACATACTGTAGTCATGGTTATTATCCGTCATGGAAAACGGTTGGAACATCCGTCCATGAGACAACTATAGCATTGATAGAAAATATATAACTCAGTACTCACTGCAGTGAGTGACAGAGAGCGCATTTTCTCGTCGACGAAAACATGAAGTCACGGACGGACAGACAGACGGACAGACGGACATGGCGAGCACAATAGTGCATTTTTTTCATAAATGAGAAAATGCGCTAAAAATCGCCCTCTTATATCCTCACGGTTATGATTAACACATTCACTGAATAAAATATGCTGTATAAGCAAAATTGCTTCCAATAATAATACTCGTTTTGAAACTGGAAAATATACATGCTTGATTTTTTCTCAGGTCAGGCTCTCATCGATATCAAACTATATTTTGCGTAAGGAGCTTTTATAGAAACGAATTTAATTTACTTGATCATTCTTAACCTTGTACATTGAGCCAGAGCGCATCACGTCTGCGGCACCATCATGGATACGGTGATAGAAACCATTATCATGCAGGAGAAAACCTAAATAGTGACCTCGATTGTGGCGACAGCCTTATAAACTAAGAGAATCAGAGCTGAACGTCTATGGATGTTTTGCCTCCACTTTATCATCATGGAGATGAGGTCTCAAGGTCCGAAGTCAGAATTATTGTCGACTGACACTGCCACGTGCTCAGTAAAGCTCGGTGTTGAAAACTGGAATTTTGCGCGCTGACCTGAAGTCCTGTCGCGATAACTGAGTTAGGCCTGTGCCGGCCGTAAAGCTGTTAGTGATTCATGAATATACAGTGTCGTCCATTATCTTGAACTTCCAAAATTGAATAGATTCCCTAAATAGAACCTCAATGATGCATAACAGCATGGATTAATTTAACACGTTTTTATGCAATTTTTAACATTAAAATGTATAAAGTGTAAAGTAAAAATTCAAAAATAAATTGAACCTTATAATATGTAGTTATATTTCAAGTTAAAGTGAATATCTGCCCAGGTGTTTGAAAGCAATCAATTAATCATAGAATAACATTTTTGAACCAAAGGTTTCTCATCATTTGGGAGCATGAGTTCAGCTTGGGAAGAAGGTACCACATCTCAAAATGTCAAAAATAATTCTCTCACATTTCAAAATCATGTATAAACAATCTTTGGCTTCTCTCACATCTTAGATGAAGCGCTCTTTTCTGCTTAAATTCTGAGCGTAAATTAAGGATCTACATGCAGGCCTCAATCCTGTTCAGCTTCCAGTTCAGTATACGAGCGAGCAATTATTGAAGCTGAAATCTACGTGAATGCGGTCGAGGGAAGGTTGCTATGCCTTCACAGCTGAGATAAGCGACGACGTCAAGCAGCAGCCGATGCAGAGCTGCAGCAGCTGTACAGGCACCAGCCACCACGACGGTATGGTAGCAACTATATGACGTTCAAGCGCATCATTAAAAGCAGCCGACATGCAACAGCAAGACAAATATATATAAGCTATTAACTGTATCTACCGGAATATATCCAACATAAATATGTTGAACAAAGCAAACAAAAATATCGTTTATAAATATCGCGGAATCTCGTCACTAGAATATCAGTAACGGAATGAGTGGAATTAGACTATAAACATCAGAGGACCTACCAAACAAATGTAATCAATCGAATGAGTAATCATTCAAACGATTTTATTATTGATGTCATTTCTACAGTAGAGTCATCATTTATACATATGACAATTAAAGAAGAGTCAATTTACGAGGATCCCGAACGACATTGGCCATATAAGCAGAGTCTATGAAAATGAAATGAACGAAACAACAATAATAAGCCAACAACATCAACAGCAACGTAAGCAGCAGCAAAGATTACATCAACTATGTGCCAAAACCATCGCAAAAGAGACCAAAGACATCAATATGAACATTAGCATACGGGGTGGATGCATAAGGACATTAAAAGGCACCAAGGACATTAAAAGGTACCGTCCCAGCCTCCCGGCATCATCAAGAAAAGCATCATCAGTACGCTGGACAAACACCCTGTCACTCACACCGCTTATCGCGCGGCTTGCGCTCGTATCAGGGCTTCCGCTGAGTCCCAGGCTAACCGTTAGCTTTAGTCCGTCCCGAGGGATAAAGGCATCCTATGATCAAAGACATTGTCAGTATATGCATTATTAATTTTATAGCAGGGCAGTGTGATGTCTTCTAGTCTATTGACAACTCTGTGATTGAATATAAATTATTTGCGATTCATCGAAGAACTTTAAGGGATAATTGGCTTTATTGTGGGCGCTCAGAACGGACTGGAGTATACCAAGCGAGAAAAGTTAAAATAATAATTGGAACATGTTATTAGGAACATTTATAAGCAGGAGAGTACGAAGAAACCTTCTTCGTATGAGGTAAAGAAACCAAAAAGCTAAGAGACCAAATAAAACAAAAAAATAAATTCACTTGATTGCATGAATCGAAATTTATCAGGAATTTGACAGCAGAGAAGATGGCATGAATTCAGCATATCTCTATAAAAAGAAAACGTTAAGGAGGCTAGCTCCATTTTCAATGTTCGTTTCATCAAGTTTTACAGCACTGTCAAACTAACGACCGCGCTGAACTTGGAACTTGCCTCAAAAAGGATAAGTTGAATTTTTGTGACATCTACTAAAAAAATTCAATCAATGATTGACGATAATGAGAACAAGCTGTTATTGATTTTTTATATCGAGGAAGAGAAGAACGAATGGTTTATGATATTAACGAATCAAAACTTGCGATCATTTCCAATTAATGAATGGCCATGCAAGTTTTCTCTTGTGCTTGTCAAAGGAGTAAACGAAGGAAACATTCCTGATGTGTGGAAATAATCGAACAAAATGAGCATATTTTATCAAGGTCAGCGCGGGATGGTGAAATGTTCTTGCCAGCTGCAGGCAGCAGTGCCAGCTGCAGGCAGCAGTGCCAGCTGCAGGTGTCAGTAAGATGAGTCACAGTCAGCATGAATAGCGCTGATTTGCTGATTAAGCGCACCTTAGGCGGCAGCTGTAGACCTCAACTTGTCCGGGCAGCTGTAGCTCATTATTGAGAGTAGCAGTTACAATACAACTGTAGCGCCCAGCAGTTACAACTGTAGCACCCAGCAGTTACAACTGTAGCACCCAGCAGTTACAACTGTAGCACCCAGCAGTTACAACTGTAGCGCCCAGCAGTTACAACACTGTAGCGTCCAGCACTTACAACTGTAGCGCCCAGCAGTTACAACTGTGGCGCCCAGCAGTTACAACTGAAGCGCCATGAAGTAGCAACTGTAGCGCTCAGCAGCTACAACTTTAGCACCAAGTAGTTACAACTGTAGCACCAAGCAGTTACAACTGTAGC